ATATAAGAAAATATATGCTATAAGTACGAGTATAGCTAAACTAATATTCAAATTATATGTTCCTAGTTTTCGTATTGCTAACGAAGTTGTCGAAAGGTAAAGTGGTAATTAATAATCACGATTGAGATATAAAGTGGTATAAGTATTATGATTGAAATTATTATTAAATATGTTTCAAATATATATCGAAAGTTATAAAATTTTGAGGTATTTTCACAAGAATAACTAAAGTAAAATATTGTTGTTTAAATACATTTTCAATTAATAGTACACTTCATTTTTCATGGTATAATATAAAAATTTCGATTGTTGTGGAAATAATATATCTACTGAATTAACTATTCAAAGTTTTTCTATTAAAACTTGATTGTTTTCGCGAATTTTGACGTCGTTCCAAATTTAAATTTTCATAGCACCATTTATGGTTGAATGCTATGGATTCCCATATATGTTGGGTTTTTGGTCAATCTGTGTAAGTAAATATTCAATTAAGTTGTTGGTCTAAATTTTTTAAATTGGTCGATGATAATCATCGGCAGATTTTTCAAATAACATGTATACCGGATGCTTTACTATAGCCCTTGGTGATGAATTGTGATATAACGTTCACAGGTAATTCGGTTTTTCGGCCAAATTGTTTTGTTTATCACTGTCATACAGTGTTTTGTATTCTTCAAAAATTTCCTGATTAGGAAATTGTTCTTTAATACGATTATTGGTAATCTTTCCTTTTATAGTCCATTCTTCTAAATATTTTGGTATATATTTTTCGAATATTTCTTCTTTAAAGTATTGGATCGATGGAGTCCATACCTGATAGTCCATTTGTCTCTTTGTCATCTATTGGGGTGGATACATATTGTTGGGTTCATTATGAACTATCTGGGAATACTCATGTGGTAATACCAGATATAGATACATTGCTATTTCAACATAATATGGTGATTTTGTATAATCATTATCGTTGGTTGTTGCTGGTCGAGTTCCGGATCTATTGTGGGAAAGGTATCCGTGTGTTTTGATGAATTGTAATCGTTCGGATTTCATTTTAAATTTCAATTCTTCAGTAATTTCTCGTATAATACAGTTCCAATATGTTTTATCATATTCTTCAAAGT